GTCCTTGTAGACCGAGTTATCTGTTCTTAGCTCAATCCCAGGCATATTGTGGAGCCACAATGGAAAACCACCATAGTTCCATTCTGCACAAACATAAGGACCAATCCTTAAAATGGCATACAAACCAGCCTCTTGGACTAGCTTGAAAAATTTGATAAAAATTCGGTCAAATTAAAGAATTTACAATGCTAGTGGTGCTTGACAATCTTTGGTGACATCTTAACATTCATCCTCAATTGTTTTGAAATATAAAATATTGTGAGTATTAAACTTGGATTGAAACACTTTATTATCATTCAATTTCACCTTTGGTGCCTTTAATTTGAATTTAGTTAGTAGTCGAACTACAACGCATGTGCAATATATTTGTGTTATAAATTATAATTGTATAGTATACATGTGACTTCACTTACGCGGGCGTGCTTAATATATTATAACGTAATCTATATATCCAATGTATTAAATAAAAATTATTATCACATTGAAGTACTTCCTGCCTTTTTCTTCTCATTTAACCACAAGGTTTCGTATTTATTTTTTTCTCACGTCTTTATTTCTTATTATGAATGCAATTAGAGTAGATCCAATGAATTCGTATTGCATTGGTAGTCATATTTTCTTAATATTTAAAATCTTGGTGTTGTGTGCATGAAATTAAATTGAACACACATTCTTTCCAAGACCACATTACATTATATACTAGACTGAAGAATAAATTTTTCTTTGTAAGGAAGAGAACGTAAATTTTATTGTAAGGAATTGGAATATTGGAAATTAATGACACTTTTATTTGTGATTAAGAAAATGTGACGAATGCAAATGTATGTCTATGTTACATGCTTGCAATTTAAGCCTATTTGGGTTTCGACTGGTTGAATTTGGCCTTGAGGGAAAACAACCGACTCAACAGGTCGCTTGCACGGCTAGTCTAGTTGGGTCGTTGTCAGCACCGACTACACCAAATGCTTCTTTTGTCACTGCAAACCCACAACTACTTTTCCCTATGCAGGCTGCTTCCACCACAGACCGACTATCAGTAGCTTCCCAAGAGCCTTGGTCAAAAGAGCCACACTTTCCTTTTGGGTTTCCAAAACTAGCAAATTGGATTTGTGAGATTACTTGTCCACCTTGGCATGATAGCTCTAACAATGCACCTTCGTGGACAAGAGCACAAATGGTTCCTGTTGTGACTGTTTGGAAGGAAACGTTTTGAGGGTTTCCACCTATCTCTTCAAACAAAACCAATGTGTTCTTGTCATTGTTTAAGAACGACCTTGGCACATGGTACCACCGTTGTGATGGATTGCCACAGTTGGTGTTGCACTTTTCTGTTACATAATTTCCGCGGTAGTCACAAGTGTCAGTGCATCCATTGGTAGCAGTAATCCAAGAAGGCCAATAACGACCAATGCTATGCCCAATCACCCAAGCATGTCCTTTACCCAACCCTTGCAAGTCCACCACCACGGGGTTTGTTCCATAAGATGCTTTAAAGTCTGCTTTATACCAAGTCATGGGTTTACCAATAGGATAGGATGAATTAGCATGCCATGCTACACCAGTGTGTGGTTGTAGATCATAGAGACGTTTTCTTTCCCCGTTCAAACCAATCTTATAAGACCAAAGGTTGGTTGACAAATCCATAGTCACATTGTTCTTCCCAATTAATTGAAAAGGACCGCCTGTTATACCAGTCTTTATCTTATCGAAACCTGCCCCGTAATTCGCAAGCCCCACAGTGGCACTAAGCAAGGCTATGATGTTTGTTCCCTTCTTTATAGAGACTCGTTTCTCGTACGTAAAGTTGCTTCCCCATTGGCTAAATTTGTATCCAGCATACCTTCTATTAACATAAGCATGGAGCGTATGACCCATGGTGTCCACACGAAGAGTTGCATTACACCAAATGGAGGTGTCGTTGATATCGACGTTCGTCATGTACCACAGGTAGTCACTGGCATCCAAAGTTAGGTCCTTTTGCTCGAGAAGCTGGTTTGCGTTGAGGCTGCCCTTTCCAAGCAAGGCATCTTTCTTTCGCTCTGGTGCCCACGCCCAAGGTAGCTTAATGTTAGAGAGCCTTTTTTTATGTGAAATTATATTTTTATATATTTGTTTTGATTAAATCATTTGAGGATTATATATTTTAATATAATGATTATTATTATTTTTATTATTATTATTATTATTATAAAGTGAAGGAAAAGAATAGGTAACGAGAGTTATGAACAAGTAACAACGGACGGGTTAGAGGGAGAATGAGTCAGATTTAATTTTAAAAAGAGGGACGTGTTTGCTCATGCTTTCACTTTTCTTTTACACTTTTCAGAACCAAGAGGAAAAGAGACAAGAGATCATTCCGAAAAATCCATGTTCTTCATTGTTTGCTGATAGATGTAAGGGGGAGTGAGAATTCTCGCTCTAGGATATGGGATAATTGATGGGTAGTGAGGTTGGCCTCCATCCTCTGTATGTTGCATGTGTTGTATGAACGGGAAAATCCCAATTGTTTTCTATTCTTGTTTGTTGTTCTCCCATATGATTTTATTGCTCCTAAATTGCTATACTTTGTGATTATATATGATCAATTTCATGTATTGAGTCTTTTGGTATAAATTAAGTTTCTTATGGGTTTTTGTTGGAACCCTAAGGATATGTGTGAGAGTGGTTATTGTGTGAGTAATTGATAGAAATGTGTAGTGGTATGAAGTTCATGTCTTATAAATGCATTGTATGATTGAATATTGGAGTGTTTTTTCCAATTAGAATGATAATTGCATGTTTTGGATTCACTGTTCGCAAATCACAATTTTGTAGGTTTGTGTTTCTGATATGGCACTAAGTACCACTTGTGCTTAATTGGGTGTTGGGGTGCCCGAGAGTAGGATTCACTCCTTGTTTTGTTTGCACTGGGCAAGGGACATGCCTCATCAAGCATTATCGAGGCTGCAAGTCTATGTGATACTCATGACAAGCATGGGTTAAGGCTCACCGAGCATAGGACTCCAAGGGAGTCCTTGTTATTATCTTGCCGAGCGTGAGTCATCCCGAGAGTTATGAGTGCTCTCTGGACGAGGTATGCCAGACATAGATGGACTTTTTCCAGGTGCTAACTGTATATGAAATTTGTTATTTACAAGAGTTTTGTGACACCCTTACTACCCCAACACATATATCGTAATATTTGTGATTAAGAAAATGTGACGAATGCAAATGTATGTCTATGTTACATGCTTGCAATTTAAGCCTATTTGGGTTTCGACTGGTTGAATTTGGCCTTGAGGGAAAACAACCGACTCAACAGGTCGCTTGCACGGCTAGTCTAGTTGGGTCGTTGTCAGCACCGACTACACCAAATGCTTCTTTTGTCACTGCAAACCCACAACTACTTTTCCCTATGCAGGCTGCTTCCACCACAGACCGACTATCAGTAGCTTCCCAAGAGCCTTGCTCAAAAGAGCCACACTTTCCTTTTGGGTTTCCAAAGCTAGCAAATTGGATTTGTGAGATTACTTGTCCACCTTGGCATGATAGCTCTAACAATGCACCTTCGTGGACAAGAGCACAAATGGTTCCTGTTGTGACTGTTTGGAAGGAAACGTTTTGAGGGTTTCCACCTATCTCTTCAAACAAAACCAATGTGTTCTTGTCATTGTTTAAGAACGACCTTGGCACATGGTACCACCGTTGTGATGGATTGCCACAGTTGGTGTTGCACTTTTCTGTTACATAATTTCCGCGGTAGTCACAAGTGTCAGTGCATCCATTGGTAGCAGTAATCCAAGAAGGCCAATAACGACCAATGCTATGCCCATTCACCCAAGCATGTCCTTTACCCAACCCTTGCAAGTCCACCACCACGGGGTTTGTTCCATAAGGAGCTTCAAAGTCTGCTTTGTACCAAGTCATGGGTTTACCAATAGGATAGGATGAATTAGCATGCCATGCTACACCAGTGTGTGGTTGTAGATCATAGAGACGTTTTCTTTCCCCGTTCAAACCAATCTTATAAGACCAAAGGTTGGTTGACAAATCCATAGTCACATTGTTCTTCCCAATTAATTGAAAAGGACCGCCTGTTATACCAGTCTTTATCTTATCGAAACCTGCCCCGTAATTCGCAAGCCCCACAGTGGCACTAAGCAAGGCTATGATGTTTGTTCCCTTCTTTATAGAGACTCGTTTCTCGTACGTAAAGTTGCTTCCCCATTGGCTAAATTTGTATCCAGCATACCTTCTATTAACATAAGCATGGAGCGTATGACCCATGGTGTCCACACGAAGAGTTGCATTACACCAAATGGAGGTGTCGTTGATATCGACGTTCGTCATGTACCACAGGTAGTCACTGGCATCCAAAGTTAGGTCCTTTTGCTCGAGAAGCTGGTTTGCGTTGAGGCTGCCCTTTCCAAGCAAGGCATCTTTCTTTCGCTCCGGTGCCCACGCCCAAGTTAGCTTACCAGAAGCATCATCACTCTTTTTCACCATTACTGAGGTCTGGCTATTAACCTTTGCGGTGTTGAAAACTTCTTTGTTGCAACCATCAAGAATGGTCACAGACCAAGCAGGGACAGAGTATTTACCATCTTGTTGTAAGTCAACATTTGCATCTGTGTTACTGTCTGTATTGCTGAGGAAACAAAACCTTGCCCCACCAGCACCGGTGTATGTTGTTAGTGTGACTGCATTGCCTAAATCCTTGTCAATCCTTGTTGCATTAGTGAGGATCTTTTCCCCCAATTTTATTGCTGCATGAAGTTGCTTAAGATGTCCCCATTTGGGTTGATTCAAATTCCCATACTCATCAAGTGGTGCATCATAGTCGTAAGATGTTGTGATATAGGGGCCTCCTGCTGTGCGACCAAAGTTGGTTCCTCCATGGTACATGTAGTAGTTATTGAGTACACCGCCATTTTGGAAGAAGCGTGCAACGGAGAAAGCTGAATCTTCTGCACTTCTGTGGGGGACCCTCTCACCCCACTTTTGGAACCATCCAATCCAATTTTCAGTGAACATTTTGGGACTCTTGGGGTTATTGGGCTGAAAATTGTCACAGTAGTAGCCGTTGCAAGTATTGATCATAGGCTGGGGAGCATCGTGTTGTTGACACATGATCCATGGGACACCGATATTTTGTGCTACAGCCATTTGCGCACACCATTTGATATACGATTTCCCCGCATCTCCGTAACCCCACATGATGTTTCCATATTCATTCTCAATTTGAGCAAGAATAATGGGTCCTCCTTGTGATGCAAACAAATTTGCTTCTTTGACCATGTCCACAATCTTTGTAGTGAAGGTTTGCATTTCGTCCTTGTAGACCGAGTTATCTGTTCTTAGCTCAATCCCCGGCATATTGTGGAGCCACAATGGAAAACCTCCATAGTTCCATTCTGCGCAAACATAAGGACCAATCCTTAAAATGGCATACAAACCAGCCTCTTGGACTAGCTTGAAAAATTTGATAAAATCCAAATTTCCTGAGAAATCGTATTCACGTCGAACAGGCTCATGACGGTCCCAAAATACGTAACTTTCAATGGCATCAAGGCCTCCATCCTTGGCCTTTTGAATAATGTCTGGCCACATCTCCACTGTGCTTCGTGGATAATGGACAGAACCAGAAAAAATAAGACGCCTTTCCCCGTTAATAATGAGAGCATTTGCATCATATGTGACCTCTGTGGCAAAGCATGAGCGTAAGGCTGCCAGGCTCAACAAGAGAATTGCGACCCAAGATGAGGAACCCATTGCAAACACGTATGACAATTCAATATTTGTTATTGCCTGATTGAAATACATGTGGGGGGGTTTTATAGCAACCTTAGCAAGTTACAACAGCTAATAAATAACAAAGTTGTTCTTGTCGTCATCATGTTCGAATTAATCAACTATTATTAGTTGGTAATTATGGTAAATATATATAAGAAAGGATGAGCACGTTTCAAATATGGAAGAAATTTCCTATAACTCCTTTAGTTCTTATCCTTGACAGGTATGGCCTATACCAACCTTGTTGTACTTTTGAAAGTCTTGCATGTGCGTGATATGTCAAGGTTGTTGTAAATGATAGGTTGTAAGATGTGGCACTCTATGATGGGCTGGTTGTTTATCTTTTTTATTTTTATTTTTATTTTTATTTCCGTAATCATGCCAGGCTTCCGTATTAATTCCAATATTTGAACAATGGTATATAATTCAATACGTTCAAGTTTTGGATCCATTTATTTTTAATTGGGATTAATGATTCACTCGGGTTAGGCATTTAATAGGAACCCATAGATGGGATTCCTTTGTTGATTTGTAATGAGGTGTGGACGATATGTTAAGTTAACAAAATTTATTATGAGAAGCCTAAATTTATTTGCAGATTGAGGGATGGATATAAGCTGTGAAAACCATTAGATTTACTATGTGAAAAATATTTTATTGCAAGGATATCAATTAAAAGCAACTGTAATTTCATCGCATGTTTATGTTGAAATGTTTAAGAGAAATGACATTGATAAGTAAATTTAAAACTGAGGAACAATGCAGTGACCAAATGACCAAGAACTTTAATAACTTGTGTTGAGCAAAAACTAAATATAAAATATTTACCACTGTCTACTAGACAAAATCTTCTATAACCAATAGCATGAGATGTATGGGTGGGCTTGGTTTGGATTACCATATAAATAAAATAAATTAATTAATTAAAAAAAGGCATTGAAAGTGGGCTAGGTTTCGACCTAAACTCTTGATTTTGTTTGAAATAAATATGGTTTGTAAATTTCTAAAACCAGATTAAAATTGCTTTGAAACCTTAAGAACCGGTTTTTAAATGTAAAATGTTTGAATACCCATATTTAAAAGTCAATTTAAACATAAAGATATTTTTAAATCTCATAACAATCTTTAACATCGATTTCAAATCAAATTTTCTTTCAAAAACTAGATTTAAAAACTTTTTTCCTCCAACGTTAGCTTTTAAAATTAGTATGAAAAGAAAGAGGGTGTCATGGACATATATGTCAAATATGTTTGTTTTATTTTTATCTTCATAAAAATAAGTTAAAAAATAGGTTTTATTATAATTTATGACATAACACGTACCGAAAATAGCCAGAAATGCTAATTGGTAGAAGCATTCCACATGGAAATCAGCAACGCGTCACCTAAATATTGTTACAAAAATATGTACTATTATATTAGCTGTGTCAACATATAGTGTTAAATATATTTAATAATTCTTAAAATAATTGTGAATGAGTATGCTTAAAAATAGTGCTTACTCAAACAAAAGTGAATACTTTTTATTATTAGAAATGTTTATTACATTAAAACAAAGAGCACGAAAATATTTTGATTATAGTTATACTTATTTTTATTTAAATTTCATACTCTCAAAACTTTTGTCTTAAACAACATTTATTTTCATAACATCATCAGCTTTTTAAGTTCTTCAGTAAAAAAAGCATTTTTGTACTCTGCCATGATTTTCAAATCATTTTTGTTATCCATGTGAAAAAAATCCGTTCAAATTAAAGAATTTACAATGCTAGTGGTGCTTGACAATCTTTGGTGACATCTTAACATTCATCCTCAATTGTTTTGAAATATAAAATATTGTGAGTATTAAACTTGGATTGAAACACTTTATTATCATTCAATTTCACCTTTGGAGCCTTTAATTTGAATTTAGTTAGTAGTCGAACTACAACGCATGTGCAATATATTTGTGTTATAAATTATAATTGTATAGTATACATGTGACTTCACTTACGCGGGCGTGCTTAATATATTATAACGTAATTTATATATCCAACGTATTAAATAAAAATTATTATCTCATTGAAGTACTTCTTGCCTTTTTCTTCTCATTTAACCACAAGGTTTCGTATTTATTTTTTTCTCACGTCTTTATTTCTTATTATGAATGCAATTAGAGTAGATCCAATGAATTCTTATTGCATTGGTAGTCATATTTTCTTAATATTTAAAATCTTGGTGTTTTGTGCATGAAATTAAATTGAACACACATTCTTTCCAAGACCACATTACATTATATACTAGGCTGCACAGTCAAACATTATTCTTAAGTTTAATTTCCTTCAAAATTTTAATTACCATACTTGCATGATGCTAGAATGAAGAATAAATTTTCTTTGTAAGGAAGAGAACGTAAATTTTATTGTAAGGAATTGGAATATTGGAAATTAATGACACTTTTATTTGTGATTCAGAAAATGTGACGAATGCAAATGTATGTCTACGTTACATGCATGCAATTTAAGCCTATTTGGGTTTCGACTGGTTGAATTTGGCCTTGAGGGAAAACAACCGACTCAACAGGTCGCTTGCACGGCTAGTCTAGTTGGGTCGTTGTCAGCACCGACTACACCAAATGCTTCTTTTGTCACTGCAAACCCACAACTACTTTTCCCTATGCAGGCTGCTTCCACCACAGACCGACTATCAGTAGCTTCCCAAGAGCCTTGGTCAAAAGAGCCACACTTTCCTTTTGGGTTTCCAAAACTAGCAAATTGGATTTGTGAGATTACTTGTCCACCTTGGCATGATAGCTCTAACAATGCACCTTCGTGGACAAGAGCACTATTTTTAAATCTCATAACAATCTTTAACATCGATTTCAAATCAAATTTTCTTTCAAAAACTAGATTTAAAAACTTTTTTCCTCCAACGTTAGCTTTTAAAATTAGTATGAAAAGAAAGAGGGTGTCATGGACATATATGTCAAATATGTTTGTTTTATTTTTATCTTCATAAAAATAAGTTAAAAAATAGGTTTTATTATAATTTATGACATAACACGTACCGAAAATAGCCAGAAATGCTAATTGGTAGAAGCATTCCACATGGAAATCAGCAACGCGTCACCTAAATATTGTTACAAAAATATGTACTATTATATTAGCTGTGTCAACATATAGTGTTAAATATATTTAATAATTCTTAAAATAATTGTGAATGAGTATGCTTAAAAATAGTGCTTACTCAAACAAAAGTGAATACTTTTTATTATTAGAAATGTTTATTACATTAAAACAAAGAGCACGAAAATATTTTGATTATAGTTATACTTATTTTTATTTAAATTTCATACTCTCAAAACTTTTGTCTTAAACAACATTTATTTTCATAACATCATCAGCTTTTTAAGTTCTTCAGTAAAAAAAGCATTTTTGTACTCTGCCATGATTTTCAAATCATTTTTGTTATCCATGTGAAAAAAATCCGTTCAAATTAAAGAATTTACAATGCTAGTGGTGCTTGACAATCTTTGGTGACATCTTAACATTCATCCTCAATTGTTTTGAAATATAAAATATTGTGAGTATTAAACTTGGATTGAAACACTTTATTATCATTCAATTTCACCTTTGGTGCCTTTAATTTGAATTTAGTTAGTAGTCGAACTACAACGCATGTGCAATATATTTGTGTTATAAATTATAATTGTATAGTATACATGTGACTTCACTTACGCGGGCGTGCTTAATATATTATAACGTAATTTATATATCCAACGTATTAAATAAAAATTATTATCTCATTGAAGTACTTCTTGCCTTTTTCTTCTCATTTAACCACAAGGTTTCGTATTTATTTTTTTCTCACGTCTTTATTTCTTATTATGAATGCAATTAGAGTAGATCCAATGAATTCTTATTGCATTGGTAGTCATATTTTCTTAATATTTAAAATCTTGGTGTTTTGTGCATGAAATTAAATTGAACACACATTCTTTCCAAGACCACATTACATTATATACTAGGCTGCACAGTCAAACATTATTCTTAAGTTTAATTTCCTTCAAAATTTTAATTACCATACTTGCATGATGCTAGAATGAAGAATAAATTTTCTTTGTAAGGAAGAGAACGTAAATTTTATTGTAAGGAATTGGAATATTGGAAATTAATGACACTTTTATTTGTGATTCAGAAAATGTGACGAATGCAAATGTATGTCTACGTTACATGCATGCAATTTAAGCCTATTTGGGTTTCGACTGGTTGAATTTGGCCTTGAGAGAAAACAACCGACTCAACAGGTCGCTTGCACGGCTAGTCTAGTTGGGCCGTTGTCAGCACCGGCTACACCAAATGCTTCTTTTGTCACTGCAAACCCACAACTACTTTTCCCTATGCAGGCTGCTTCCACCACAGACCGACTATCAGTAGCTTCCCAAGAGCCTTGCTCAAAAGAGCCACACTTTCCTTTTGGGTTTCCAAAGCTAGCAAATTGGATTTGTGAGATTACTTGTCCACCTTGGCATGATAGCTCTAACAATGCACCTTCGTGGACAAGAGCACAAATGGTTCCTGTTGTGACTGTTTGGAAGGAAACGTTTTGAGGGTTTCCACCTATCTCTTCAAACAAAACCAATGTGTTCTTGTCATTGTTTAAGAACGACCTTGGCACATGGTACCACCGTTGTGATGGATTGCCACAGTTGGTGTTGCACTTTTCTGTTACATAATTTCCGCGGTAGTCACAAGTGTCAGTGCATCCATTGGTAGCAGTAATCCAAGAAGGCCAATAACGACCAATGCTATGCCCATTCACCCAAGCATGTCCTTTACCCAACCCTTGCAAGTCCACCACCACGGGGTTTGTTCCATAAGGAGCTTCAAAGTCTGCTTTGTACCAAGTCATGGGTTTACCAATAGGATAGGATGAATTAGCATGCCATGCTACACCAGTGTGTGGTTGTAGATCATAGAGACGTTTTCTTTCCCCGTTCAAACCAATCTTATAAGACCAAAGGTTGGTTGACAAATCCATAGTCACATTGTTCTTCCCAATTAATTGAACAGGACCGCCTGTTATACCAGTCTTTATCTTATCGAAACCTGCCCCGTAATTCGCAAGCCCCACAGTGGCACTAAGCAAGACGTTTTGAGGGTTTCCACCTATCTCTTCAAACAAACCCAATGTGTTCTTGTCATTGTTTAAAAACGACCTTGGCACATGGTACCACCGTTGTGATGGATTGCCACAGTTGGTGTTGCACTTTTCTATTACGTAATTTCCGCGGTAGTCACAAGTGTCAGTGCATCCATTGGTAGCAATAATCCAAGAAGGCCAATAACGACCAATGTTACCGGCACATGTGCTCGGAACACGAGCGATACTATTCAACCACTACTTCTTACATAAGTAAGAAGTA